AATCTCTAAAAATTGCCGAGACAAAGTTGTTTGCATAAAGACCTATCCATCTGATTGGGGGGTTTGCTTAGACAAATTGATTTCAGAGAAAAGGGCTTATAAGAAAAAAAGAATGACCACAGCTAATGGACCATCTGATTTGTGTAAATAAAAACATATTCGCTCGTTTTTTAAGAAGAATCGATTTTGTGGTATTTGGAAGAACGAACTGTGTTAATAACGGGTGCCTCATGACAATACTTCATTTGTATCAAGCAGTCGGGATCAGTTCGCATCTAAACAGATATGAGTTGTCTATATTTTTTAGATGAGGTATTATGCATATTATTCATATTATTCGGACTATTGTTCTCATTTTTTGTCGCCATATTTATTACAACGTTTCGGCCTTTCAGTATCTGTCTATATTTCTGAGATGAGGTATTATGTACGCTATTTACATTATTCGGTCTGTTGTCCTCATCTTTGTGACCATATTTATTTCAACGTTTCGGCCTTTCAGTATCTGTCTATATTTTTGAGATAAGGTATTATGCACATTATTCGTATTATTCGGACTATTGTTCTCATTTTTGTCGCCATATTTATTACAAAGTTTCGGCCTTTCAGTATCTGTCTATATTTCTGAGATGAGGTATTATGTACATTATTTACATTATTCGGACTATAGTCCTCATCTTTGTCGCCATATTTATTACAACATTTCGGCCTTCCAGTATCTGTCTATATTTCAGAGATGAGGTATTATGTACGCTATTTACATTATTCGGACTATTTTCCCCATCTTTGCTGCCACATTTATTACAAAGTTTCGGCCGTTTTGGATGTCAGTTATCAGTTATCTCCTGTCAATTTCCGTCTGAAATAATGTAAATAGTGTACATAATACCTCATCTCAGAAATATAGGCAGATACTGAAAGGCCGAAACGTTGTAATAAATGTGGCGACAAAGATGAGGACAATAGTCCGAATAACGTAAACAGTGTACATAATACATCATCTTAGAAATACAGACAGATACTGAAAGGCCGAAACTTTGTAATAAATACGGCGACAAAGATGAGGACAATAGTCCGAATAATGCAAATAGTGTACATAATACATCATCTCAGAAATATATCCAGATACTGAAGGTCCGAAACGTTGTAATAAATATGGCGACAAAGATGAGGACAATAGTCCGAATAATGTAAATAATGTAAATATGATTTGATTAATGTCAGAGAAAAGAGACCAGAGGAATCAACTAAAATGTCAGAGAAAAGGAAATTGCACAGATGCTAGAAAGATGTGGAAGATACCAAATTAGCAGAGCCATAAGAACAGCATCTCAGGTAACTTCTCTAACCTTGGAATGTTGTGAAAAGGACCAGATAGAAGTAGATACGTGACACGTAAATTGGTTGACCACCCCAGATTGTAGCAGTAAACAGAAGTTTCTTTCACCTAAAAGTGAACAAGCCAAAATAGATGAAAGTTATTGTGTGATTATCACCATCAATTTAAATTCCAAACGGCTGCCTGAGGCAGCCAAGTATTAGAATTAGTGGGGAAAAAGACAATAGTTTGAAACATTTATGTAAAATAAATGAAATCTTATTACTATTTTATTAAGAACTTTCTTCCTCATTATTCTAAGGCATTGGTCAGTCTAGGAAGTCTATCAACTTCATTTTCATGTGACTAGCTCAAGTCTGTGACGTTTCAATTCTGTACTTGGCATTTCTTTGGATTTTATAAATACAACATGAATTGCAGAATCCGAGATACTGCTTACTCAATGAAGAAAGAAATAACTTTTCTGTCACCTCTGGCTTTATGCTTAGTGTCGAATTTAAGGATACAGGACCTGAAGTTATTATAGTAACGCAAAGCATCTCACGTCGCATTTAGCTGCCAAGACCAGGATATCAAGGGTCTAGAGATTCTCTCCAACCATCTAGATAACAGCCTCCAGCTGAAACCAATGGTATATTCCCAAAAGTTTGACCATCAAATTGTAAAGGTAAATGTTTTGGCTGTAATTCTGTTTTGTTCTTCGTAAATCGTAAAGTGTGTTCCTATGACTTGAACAGATTTTAAATGTGAATTAAGTTTAAGCGTCTAATGATTTTTTTTCTTTTTCTTTTAGATTTAACAACTTTAAATCTTTTGCAATTTCAACCATGGAAAGATTAACAATTAAACAACGTGTTAAAGTTATCGAAGCCTGTTACGAAATTTTCCCAGGTCGCATCATCTCTCGAAACAGCGAAGTCAATTGTCCACCAGGATCATACGCCTATTTGTAGATCTGTCTTGGTGTGACAAATGGATATGAAAATTCATATCCATCTTTCCTCTATTAAGTCAGAAGTCACACTGTGGATCTGGCAGTATCTTTGCCACAATGTCAGCATTCAGTCAAGATGGCAAAATCCCAAAGCTGATATACATACATATCTATATACATATCTACATACAAACATGAACACGCACGTGATGGTCGATTCGTTAATCGAGTATGGCTAGTTTAAACATCTTAACATATAAGGTAAGATAACTATGTGCTTTTAACCTAAATCTTCCATGTGTACAGGAAAATACGATTATTTGATTAAAATTATAGACAGCATAATTTACTTTCTTTTTAAAACTCAACTATTATGCTATAAAATTAAAAATAAATATTAATTAATATATTAAAATTAGAAACTTGAATAAAACAAATAAAATAAATTTTGTTTGTTTAACGGCATATCAACTCCTTATGGGTTATTTAATACCGAAATTTAATTTTCTTGGGAGCCTTAGCAATTTCTTTTAAAAAATGTATTGCTGGTATCGTCGTTTTTTTTTTTCATTTTTTATAAAGTGTGTTCCAATAACTTGGACCGATTTTAAATGTGAATTAAGTTTAAGCATTTAATGATTGTTTTCTTTTTTTTAAGATGTGGCGGACATTTGGGCGATATTGTTTCTTACACAATTGCCATGACCTAAATAACATGATACAATAGAGAAATAAATACATTTTCACCAATAATATTAATTCATTTACTACTGACTTTGCTCCTTATATATAATCCGTCTTAATGAATCACCTTTATATATAATCCTTTTTAATGAAACACCCTTTCCAAGCTTTAGCTCAATGTCTGGAATACGTCAACTATAATTTTCTTTGATACGTGGCTGGCGTGAATTGGTGGCGTCCCATCATGAAGATTAGAACGTTTTCAGATCTTCGAAATAAAACGTAGATGGAGGAGTCTCCGATCGGGGACGTCGCTGTGCCAATCGTCACCCTGCCAGTTGTCGGCTTACCAGTCGTCGTTGATACCCGCTCGCATCCGAGTATTGGAATCGCCATCCCCTCCATTTCTCACCTCCGGTGACTGTAAGAGAGATGGCTGTGAAGACCTAGCCTACTCCTGAAGATTCAGGATCAGGATTGACAGAGGAGTGTTGGTGGTGGATGCGGCTGGGCGAATCGGACCCTCCTGAAAGCACGTCGCAGATGATCTTCATGTTGACGGTTGGGACCCCCTTCGGATAGTCCTACGCCAGAAAGGTTGATTTGCAGGATCAGTTTCCCAGGTTTCAGGGTCGATGTTGGCCTGTGTCATGAAACATTTCAATTGATCATTGAAGCGCCGTTTTGGACCTCCGCGTAGCCTCATTCCGCTGGCGAGGTCTCCATAAAAGGATAATATGTAGGACGCATTCTGCACGCATGACACGCTCAGTAATTGGAACAATCACACTGTCCGGGATTAGGTCGCCATGGATGAGATCTTTCAGATCATCGTACGATATCCAGGACCTGACTCTTGGTAAAGCCCATGATTTACAAAACTTTAAGTAAATGGGGCGGAAAGTGCAATACTGAAATCCGAAGGTGAATTGGGATAGCGAAAAATGATTTCCAAAAGCTTAGCACTGTATTAAGAAAAAAGAAAACTGTTGTGAAAAACAAAGAAAAAATTACTAAAATGTTACGTAATATCAGTCCTCATATATGGCAGTGAGTGCTGTACAATGTCCTCACAGATGAAGAAGATACTTGAAGCAACAGAAGTGTGGTTCTACAGTAAGATGCTGAGTCGAATATGTGAGCAACGACGTAGATTTAGATAAAATGGAATCAAAAAGGGCACCTATACTTAACATCAGAACGAGACAGTTGAAACTTCTAGGGCACATTATGTAGAAAGAAGACTTGGAAAATTTGATACGGTTGAAACTTGACTAATGCATGGAATAATAATGCAACACAAAATGTACTTAGAACAAAATGTATTGAAACAAGAAAGGTACACAATATTTACATATAGTCTTTTGTATATTCCTGGGAAGACCGTTCCTAGAGAATGTGTTGACTTAGTCGCAGTCGGGCAGAGTCTCTGGATTGAATCTCTTGATTCCTCTTCTCGTCTTCCCGGTACCAACCATATTTATATGGTCGGTACTCCACTATGCAAATTAGGTGGATCCTACCACAACAGATACTCAACGGATAAATTGAAGACAAGAAGCCCAAATGAAAACAACACATAACTTACCTAGAGAGCTTGAGTCAATGGATGGCGGAAGGTGTAGGTGAGAAAAACAAAAAGACAAAATGTTTTAAATCCACAAATATAGGAAATTGTAGGGAGCCATGATCCCCTACGTCCTGAAGATGCCCAGCACATAGAAGAAAAAGAATTAGATTAAATAGAAGCTTAAGATACAGTTAAGACTGTCCGGAGCAGGGCGTTGTTGGACTTGGCTCTGATACTGAGCAAGGTGCTGGAGATTAGTTGTCACTCGATCCCCAGATATAGCAAGACATCTCGGCTGAAAATGCAAATGCTTAAAATATGAATCAATAAATAAATAAATAATAAAAGCCCCATGAAAATAACACACCGTGAGGAAGAAGGGTTTATTTTTAAAACTTCACAGCGTAATTGAAAAATTCACTCTAAGTTCGGTTGTGTTATATTTAACAGTTCTGTAAAAAGAAAACTATTGTTTAACACGTCTCTCTTAAACCGACATTCTCACCCCGCCTACTCACAGAGAGGAGACGTGCGCTATTGTCATTTTGGGAGAAAGCAGGGTAAAAGTTCACGATTCGTAGATTTTCCCCTTCGGTGGCTCGTGACGTTGCGATTAACGAGCAGGACACGAAATGGCGAGAAGATGGGGGGTGCATGAAATAATAGTTGTCTCCCTTTAAAATGGAACATGTAAACAAGAAAAAAAAATGGAGACATGAATGTTTCTGGAAAAGGAAAAAAAAAAGAAAGAAAAAAGAAAATTCAACAGGACGAAAATAGTTATTCTCCTGGTTATGCTCTGGTTGATTTGGCAGGGATTAATGAGAGGGGGTGGGAGAGAGAGAGAGAGAGAGAGAGAATAAAAAGAAAGAGAGGGGGGGAGAGATAAGAAGAAGTCAAAAGAGAAAAGAAAAAAAAGAAACTTTTAAAAAGAGAGAAAGAGGGAAAGATATATATATATATATATATATATAGAGAGAGAGAGAGAGAAAGTAAAGAGAAATAAAAAGAAAGAGAAAATGTAGGAAGAAAGAAGAGATATTGATAGAGAGAAAAAGAGAAAATATAAAATAAATAGAGAGAGGTAAGAGAGGGAGAAAGATTAAAAGGAAAAATGATAATAAGACGGAAAGTTTATAAAAACGATTCACATAGAAACAGAGAAAAAAGGTGTAGATAGAGTAGAGAGAGAGAGAAAGAGAGAGAGAGAGAGGGAGAGAGGGGAGGGAGAGAGAGAAAGAGGGAGAAGTGAAAGAAAACAGTAAAAAGAGAAAGAGAGAGAGAGAAATAAAGCCAAGTGAGAGGAAGAAAGAAGAGATATTAACAGAGAGAAAAAGAAAACATATAGAATTAATAGAGAGAGGTGAGAGAGGGAGAAAGATTACAGGGAAAAAGTGAGACTAAGACGGAAAGAAAAAACAACTGACATAGAAACAGAGACAAAGGGTGTAGATAGAGTAGAGAGAGAGAGAGAGAAATAATGCCAAAAGAGAGGAAGAAAGAAGTGATATTAAAAGAGAGAAAAAGAGAAAAGTTAGAATAAATAGAGAGGTAAGAGAACGAGAAAGATTTAATTAAAAAAGTCACTACGACAGTAGAGAGAAAGGGAGAGAGAGAGGGGGAGAGAGAAAGAGGGAGAGAGAGAGAAAGAGAGAGAGAGAGAGAGAGAGAGTGGTGATTGGCCCAGAAACAGTAAAAGTATGTAGACACATAAAGAAGAGAGAGTGAAAGAGAGAGAGAGAGAGAGAGAGAGAGAGAGAGGGAGAAGTAAAAGAAAATAAAAAAGCAAAGAGAGAAAACGAAGAAAGGTGGAAGAAAGAAGAGATATTGTCAGAAAGAAAGAGAGGAAATATAAAATAAATAAACAGAAGAGAGGGAGAAAAATTAAAGGGAAAAGAAAGAGAGACGAAAACAGAAAAGAGAGAAAGAAAATGCGATTGACACAGTTAGAAAAAGAGTGTGGAGAGTAGAGAGAAAGAGAAGTGAAAGAGTAAAGAGAAGTAGAGTAAGAGAGAGAAAGTGTGAGAGAGAAAAAGTAAACGAAGAAAGAAGAGATATAAATAGTGAGTAAAAGAGAATATAGAGGATAAATCTAGAGAAGAAAAGGAGAAAGATTAAAGGGAAAAGAAAGACAAAGAAGGAAAAGAAAAGAGCGATTAACACAGAAACAGAAAAAAGAGAATGTAGAATGAGTAAAGAGGGTAGAAATTGAAGCAGAAAGAGAGAAAAGAAGGTGAAAAGAGAGGTAAATGCAGAGAGAGAGACAGAGAGACAGAGAGAGAGAGCAAGAAAGAGAAAAAAAGAAAGAAAAAGAAAAGAGAGATAAAGGCAGATAAAGAGCGAGGAAAGAGAAAAGAAATAGAATGAGAAAAGAAAGAAAGGAAGGAAGAAAGAAAGAAAGAAAGAAAGAAAGAAAGAAAGAAAGAAAGAAAGAAAGAAAGAGAATGACAAGAAAATAGAGACATGATAAAGAGATAGAAATAGAAGGATAGCGTAAAGATATAAAAAAAGAGAGACAGTAAAGACAAAAAGCGAGAAAATAGAAAATAGATAGACAAAGACGGAGAAAGAGAGAAGAGTGAAAGAAAGACAGAGACGCGAAATGAAAGCGGAAGAAAATGAGATAAATAAAGAAAGAAAGAAAGAAAGAAAACAAAAGATGGAATAAAAACAGAGTAAAAATGAACAGAGAGAATAAGCCAAAAAAGTAAAGTGTGAGAGAGAAAAACAGATAAAGGAAAAAAAAGAAAGACAAAAAGATAGATGAGAAGATATGAAGAAAGAGACGGAAAGAGAAAAGAAGACGAAAAAAATATTGACTTAAAGATTTTATAGTTTTCCCCTGAAAGCTAAGAAGAGTTATTTCCCCTGAGTGATTATAATGAGCAAAAAATAAATCTATGTGTGTACTCGCCAGCACACACTCATATTTATTAGATATTTCCTCAGATTATTTTTATAGCAATTGGTGAAGATGACGTTTGCATATTTATTTCTATGGTTGTACAGACAGTCATAAAATTGCTAGTATATTCGCCACCAGATAATTATAAAAAACAGGCTTGAATCATTCATAAAACCTGTAGAAGTCCAATAGAATATGAACCGTTTTTACAGTTACATGGACTTAATACAAGGCCCAAGACCCACTCAAGATAGATAGTTTCTGAATGATGCAGTATGATGGAAAGAAGAGACGGTAAATGTAGTTTATGAGGTTACGTAGGGGAGATAACTGTTAGTAACAATTTTGAAGTGATTACACAAAATAGTATTTCTAGGGCCGAAGCGATCCGAATGAAATTTACTTTTTATTAATGGAGTACAAATGAGGATGATTCATCCGTATGTAAGTGACATGGTGGGCCTTAGATGTAAAGTTAAGATTGGTAGAAGTGTGGAATGTAGCTTGTTAGAACATTTGGCATCAAAATAGCGGTAGATTAGTATAAGTCTTTTCGATCGTGGGAAAAGGGATGTAAGGTTGGAAACAAACACCTTCACAGCCGTGTCGACTATTTCGAACAGACGGATAGATTAAATCTGGGAAGCAACACTTTTTAATCTCATCTGTCTGTTGTATAGAAAAAAGCAGGATTTCTGATTAATTAATTGATATCAACTCCTTATGGGTCCTTAAATGCTGAAATTTAATTTATTGGGAGCTTTGAAGTTATAAATATATGAGAGGTTATTCTGCTTTCACAATTGAATACATGGTAGATAATACTCAGCTTTTATGCATATACATGTTTCTGTTGTCATAATTATTAGAGGTGATGATATGTGTGTTTTATATTGTAGTGAAGTTACATTTTGGAATATAGTTTGATTTAAGAAATTGTAGGATATATGAATTCATACCCTGAAAGTGTGCTTTCATGTTGATTGTTTGGTTTGGTTTGGTTTACGGCTTATCAACCTCAATGGATTATTTAATGCCGACAACATTTTTATTGTGGTAATATGTTTTAATTCAAAAATCTATTTCTGGGAATATTTTTCCTTGAAGAAATCCATAGCTGGTAATTTTCTTTTTCAAAGAATGTATAGCTATTTGTATTGCAAGTATATTTTTAAGTATTGCTGATAATATTTTTTCCTTCAAAATTTATTGCTTTTAATATTAATTATTACAAAGTAATTTTTGGTATTAAAACCTATTTTTACACAAGTTTGGGTGTCAACTATTTGCCCATAGCTGGGACCCTAACATGTGCTACCACCCTGGGTCAGGGTGGACCTGGGAACGCCAGTAATTAAGAGGTGGTTCCACGCTCCTCAAAACCTCCTGATCAGAGGCCTTGCTGCTAGATGTAGTTTAACGTCTCACCCAGGACACGGATATAGTTTATCGTCATACCCAGGATGGGTTGATTGTTTGAATTTGTTTAGCAGCATATCTAACTCTATGCATTATATAAAATTTAAATATTTTGAACACAATTTTATGGCTTCAACGATAGATAAAATGTATTATTAGTCATTTTGCTTAACTTAATGTATTATTGATTCATTTAGTACAAATATATATTGTTAAGCTTTTTATATGAAAAAAAATGCATTACTGGTACTTTTACTATAAAGATTTATTTCTTTATCCTTTCATGCTCTTTTGTTTGGGATTTCACTCTTTGCTTATACCTAGGACCCTACGAGGCGCTATCATCCCGGGTTAGAGTGCACCCGGGAACAACAGCAGTAAAGAGGTGTTGAGCCCATTAGGAGGAATCAGATACTTTCTGGAGAGGTACAAGCAACTGACTATTTTTTTTCAACATCTTTAGCGATGGAATTTGCATTTGAGGTCTGTGGGGACCGAATCCCAGTAGACGTTCAAGACAAGAAGCTCGCTTGAGGGAACATCCATTCTTCATGATACGTGTAAGTTCAGGATCTGCATGCTGATGGCGGAAATACACTAATTTCCTCTGGGGGTATTTAAAGCTACAAGCCAGGGCTTTCTCGATTGCTCCCTCAGGGCTAGGTGAGAGGAAAGATCAGCTACCATGTCCTGAAACAGAAAAATTACAATACATCTTTGCTTTTAGTTTGAAACTATAAATTTAATTCAAAATTTTTAAAAAATGCAATTCATCGCTGCATTTGACACAGACTAGTTTCAACTGACTTTGACAGACATGTTTTTGGCAAATCTGACATTTTGGGATTTTTTTTATCCATTTAAGGAGAACACAAAGTACATCATTTTTCTTTTTCTTATTCGATGGTTCTTGGCCAGTTTATCGATCATTAGAGTTTGTAGTTGTATCAACACCTGAAGATCCGATGTCTTTCAGTATTTGCTCATTTTTGGAATATTTCCAAGAGATTTAGCTTCATTATAATACAAAGAATGTTCCAATAACTTGGACGGATTTAAATGTAAATTAAGCCTAAGCGTCTAATGATTTTTCCCGTTTCTTTCAGATTTAACAACTTAAGTCTTTGGCAATTTCAACCATGGAGAGACTAACAATCAAACAACATGTTAAAGTTATCGAAGCCTATTACAAAAAATGGACTTTCAAACAGAAATGTATTTCGCGGACTTCGCGATATTTTTGGTAAACATATTCGGCTAATCGAGAGTGGGGTTCAATTTCAGTACGCGATGACGAATGGAGGTGTCTGGATTTTTGGCCACATTCTTGTGCTCTGCGATTCGTCTTGGGGTGACGGTCTTGATTCACTCATATGTTAACCTTCTTCTTTCTGTCATCTTCCGTCCGGGTGATCGCTTCTTGTTCTTTTAGTTCGGAGGTAAAATGAGAAACTTCAACAAAAGGGAGTTTGTAATCTTACCTATTTTATTAAACATGTCGACGTGTACATTTTTAATTAGCCAGTGGGGTCACTCTAGCAAGTTCTCTGAGACACGAAATAACCACATCTGATCACTTCGACGTGTAAAACTCGACGAAATAACTTTCTATCTCATTAACCTTCCGGCACTAGTTTTAACCAGTCAAAAAGGAATTTCTTTGATTTGAGGGTTTAAACCAGATACACTGCCACTAAAAAATAATAAACTAAAACTAAAGGGTGTACCAATAACTTGGACCGATTTTAAATGTTAATTATTTTTGAGCGTCTAATGATTGTTTCTTTTTCTTTCAGATATAACAAGTTAAGTCTTTGGCAACTTCAACCATAGAAAAAATTAACAATCAAACAACATGTTAAAGTTATCGAAGCCTATTACGAAAATGGACGTTCAAATTTATAAATATACGGCCCAATGATTCCGCTAGAAAAAAATGCACACTAAACAGTGACCTTTTGTGGATGCAGTGGCTTTTCAACAATCTTCCTTGGATTTTCATCAACGCAAAGGCGACAATTCTGCTTATTAACAAACCCACCAAGATGAAGTTCCACAAGCGAGAAGTGTGGGTAATGAATCTTTTAGCATAGAATTTACGGTTACATATTGCCAACTCAACTGTAAATTGATGAGACCTCGACGCCAGTCTAGTACAGCGCTTAAATTCAAAAAATCGATGTACGACAGCGGAGACATCATCAGAACATTTAGCATGAAAGTATTTATAGAAAAGGCAAAGGGAGATAACCTTACGGCAGTGGGTAAATGACTGAAGACGAGCCGCCATATTAGGACTAATAATATTCTTTTTTGGATTTTATTAAGAAGCTGAAGGTAAATAACAGGGGCATGGACCCTAAGTGGTAGCAATATTCTAAGCGTGGACAAATGGTAGACTTATAGATATGTAAGATAGAATATACGGCCCAATGATTCTGCTAGCAAAAAATGCACACCAAACAGTGATCTTTTGTGGATGCAGTGGCTTTTCAAAAATCTTCGTTGGATTTTCATCAGCGTAAATGCGACAATTCTGAGGAAAATTTGCTTCATCACTAAAGAGGATTTTTTTGCGAAAAATCTTCCTCGGCTTGTCTTTGCAACGAATTGACGAATGTACAGCGCTCCAAATGGTCAGCAGGTTTCAGTTCTTGTGTCAATTGAATTTTGTAAGCGTGTAGAGACATTTTTTGGCAAAATTCGATGTAACGTTGTTGTGGAGAGGTTCAAATTCTGCACGCGATGACGAAAAGAGGTGTCTAGATTTTCGGCTACATTTTCATGTACTGCAGCAATGTTTTCAGCTGGACGGTGTAAACGAGCACGCAATGGTGTTTTCAAATCTGCCACCGACCAAGTTTCTTTCAATTTACGAACTTTCCAACTGCACTCACGGTTGGTTGATTATGCCGACCAAAAAATCGCGAAGTACGCGAAATGCATTTCTGTTTGAACGTCCATTTTCGTAAGATTCTTCGGTAACTTTAATACGTTGTTTGATTGTTAATCTTTCCATGATTGAAATTGCCAAAGACTTAATTGTTATATCTGAAAGAAAAACTTAATTCACATTTAAAATCAGTCATATGGAACACCCTGTCTTATTTTAGTTGATTTTTATCGTAACACTCAGCTTGT